GTGTGAGGGTTTGTGTGTGTGTGTGTGTGTGTGTGTGTGTGTGTGTGTGCATGTGTTTGTTTTTTTCCCTCTCCCAAAAAGAAAGAAAAACAGAGGGCGTTTGTTGTTTGTGGTGCTCCGGAGGGGGCCAGGACCAGCAGCAGGGGCGGGGTGAAGAGGCGGACGTGTGGGCCCCGTTGCCGGGCTGGGAACAGCTGCGACAACAGACGCTTGCGGCTGTCTCTGAAGAAGTGGGCGCAGGTGCGCCACCGCAATTTGCCTGGCCACGCACAGCAGGCCGAACGCCTGGGCCTGACTCGCACAGTGCCCACCTGAGCCCCTTAGCACCGCCGCGCGATAGGGCGCGCACGGCCGCCTCCAGTGCCGCGGTGTACTGCGTGCACTTGGCGCTCGGCGGCTCGGCCCAGCCGGGGTGCGCGACCATGGCGGCCTCTTGGGGACCCAGCACCGCGCCGTCCGCCTCGGCCGGCAGCAGCCACAGCGCGCCGAGCCCGGGCGCAGCGCCGCGGCCGGAGGCGGCGGCGGCGGCGCGGCCGGCGGAGCGTGCTGCGGAGACGGCGGACCGCCATGCGCGCCAGTAGGTGGGGAAGGAGCCTTGCGCTATGGCTAGGGTGCGCAGGAGGGCGGCTTGCTCGACCTGGGGCGTGGAAGTCCGTTCAAGAGGGACGGGTTGCAGGAAGGGTTGGGGGCAGCGATGGTCGGAGGCGCCTGTCGGGTCCAGGCGCCAGCAGGCGGGACACACAGCGTTGGCGGGCGCATGGGTGCTGTGTTTTAATGGATAGGGCCAACGGGGACGCCTGCATGGGCTATGCATGCGGGGCTTTGATGGCGGCCGGGGTGGAGGGGCCTCTGCGGTGGGGCCTCGCGGATGGGGGCTGCTCAGGGGGTTGCGCCCGCACCTTGCAGTCAGGGTTGGCGCCGGCCAGGGAGGCAGTGTAGCCGTTGAACTCAAACCCGTAATAGGCGACCTGGACCAGAATCGGTTGGCAGAGGGGCGCAAGCCGGGCAGCTGCGGTCACATGGCAGGCACCCGTTCAGCAGCAGGGGATGATCGGCGTCACACGCACCGTGCACACGTGTCACACGCGCCCTGAGCGCACTTGCCGAGGCGGCCGGCCTCACGTCAGGGCATGCGCCCGGCCACTGGCGCCTGTGTGCGCGGTGCGCGCACGTCAGGCACCCGACTGAGTCGTGCAGCGCTGGGCCCGCGCGCGGCCGCCGGCACTCCCGGCCCGCCCCGCCCTGGGCCCGGCCACACCTTGAAGACAAAGTTCCGCAGCTGTGGGCTGAACCCGACGTTTATGACGCCCCTCACAAAGAAAGGCATGTCGCCCTCTTCGCCCCAGCGCGCGTAGAGCGCCGCGGGGACCTCATAGAGCGGCGTGGCGGCACGCGCGCCGCGGCGACCCTCCCAGCTGCGAATCTCCAGGGCGTCGCCGGTGACGGCAGCCCAGACCTTGATCACCGGGGACAAGGGTGGGGAGGAGGCAGGATCCAGGGTGTGGTCGGTGCATGTAATGGGTGCGCGCGTGTTGGCGGTCGGGCGCCGCCGGGTGCCGCACCGGTTCCCATCATGCTGATGGGCGGTGTGCCCGCTGCTGGGATGGCCCGGCAGCTCACCTCAGCGCGCCGGCTTGAACGTCCCTTCATCATGTGTTACGTTGAACGCAGAAGCCCATAGCTTCAAGTTGGTGGTCGGCAACACCGGGGCTCCCTGATAAGCTGCGTTGCACGCTGCCCGGGTACGGGCGCGGGATGCGACGTGAACCAGTCACTTGTGGCTATAGATTTCTTCTGGGGCCGTAGGCAAACGATATCCAAGAGGTGGGGCTGAGTTTTTGCAACGGCGGGGAGGCCGCCCCGATGAAGGTCGCCCGATGTCACGTGAGTGCGTGTGAAAGTATTTATAATCAAAGATTATTTGCAAATAGAAGTCTTACGATGTCGAGGCCCGGTGTGCCATCGGCCACTGCCCTCGCCGGGCCCTGTTGCCAGGCTCGATTACTCATGGCGCACACACAGAGGGCCGGAGATCATTCATACCGGTACCTGAAATATTTGGATGCTGTGGTTGTTTAGTAAGAGAGTCTCACTGCGCATGGGACGCCTGGAACATGGTCGACGCGGGACCGCTGGCTGGGTTTCAAGATGGCAGGCTCTCTCAGGACGCTCACACGCAGCAGGTAATGACGGCGCACCCGGTGCAGTGCCGCCATGTGGGCCACCAGGGTCGGCTAGCCGGGGCTGACTCGCCGCCGCCCTCGCTGCATGCGCGGCGCGTCGGCGCACACTGCACGATCCTTTCACCCGCAGCCCCCCTTCCTTCACAAAATCGTTCCAAAACAATTCATTATAATCCTCGCAGCTGTGGGCGGTCGTGTGCGGCCAGGCGCAAATGGAGGCCGCTGGCCCGGCGCGGCGCAGCGACGCGTGGGGGCCGCCGTTGCGGCCGCGCTGCCCTGACATTGGCCTGGATGAGTACGCTCAATGGTGAGCTGCTCCAGTGCCCTTGAACGCCGCTCTCTTGCGGCAACTTAGTTTCTGATCGAGCATCGCAGGCCGCGGCTGGCTGCGGCCGCGGGCTGCGGGCTGCTGGTTCGGCAGCGGCGGGGCTGCAGCGCTCCCCGCCCGCCCGACCAGACGGCGCCGCGGGCGGGCGAGCACGCAGGCGGCCCGGCGCGCGGCCCGAAAGCAACCAATACGGCGCGCGGCGGTGCGGCGCGGCGCGGCCCCTGGCGCCCCGCAGCAGGCGCTGCGCATGCGACGCCTCAGCGACAAGCGGCCGCCCAGGGCCCACCAACACACACAAACAGCCCTGCGCCGTCCCCATGTTCCCTTCCGCCGGTGTTTCATCTGATCCGGCTGCATCACCTGCCAGGGGCTCCGACTGCGGGGACATGTTCTTCTTCCCTGAGGGCGCCCTGAACATACTCTACTCACCAGAGGAGGCCTCGTTCTCGGTCAAAGTCAAATACCTCGGCTTCGCGCCCGACGGCTACTGCAAGCGCATCCACTCCTGCAGCGACGCGGGTGCGGCGGGCTGGGGGGGGGGAGGGCATGTGCTGTGCTGGCAGCGCAGCGTGGGAG